AGCCCAGCAGGTCGAGGCTGCAGTGGCCGGGAGCGGCCACTGCACTCCAGTCTGGGTGACAGAGTGACACTCCAACTCAAAAAAAGAAAAAAGAAACATCTGCCCTTTCCAAAGTTTTCATTAGGTAATGCAAAATAGAAGCCCTGAGACTTGGGAAAAGCCTCCTCTGTAGTAAATATTAGGCAGTGTCAGATTCTGGAGGGATACAGGAAGTCTAATCATTCATTAAGAAACCATGAGAGAAAAAGTACTAATCTCCACTAATGCTTTCTATTAATCCTAGGTGGCCCAGGAGAAAAAGAGAAGGCTTTGGTGATAACCGTTAACCATCATGATTTAAACAAGGCTGCTTCCATGACTTAAACAAGTATGATATCGGGCATTGTACAAGCTATACAAGAGGTCCAGCAAGCTTAATGTGATGGGGGTGGGGGTTGTGATAAATTAGGCTAATACTGTCTTTTTGATCTCACTCCGAGAGAAGTCAAGCACGGTTTGCTTGTACATGAGAAGGAATGTAGTATATCTTTAGGTTCCTTCCCCAAGGATATCCAGCCTCTTCAACTCATTGGCACAATTTGGTGAGATTATACTTAAACACAATCACCATCAAAACTAAGTTAATTCATTGTACTACACTTGATCTTAGCCAAAAGGCCGAGAAGCAATGTTAATTCATTATATTGATGGCACTATAATAATTTCTCTCCCTCCCTTGAAGGGAAAAACTCAAAAGAGATTTGAGAGCTGTAGTGGCACACATGACTAGTGGAATGGTTAATTAATCCAGCTGAGATTCAGAGCTGAGCCAATCAGTGAAATTTCTAAAAATAACGTTGGGTCACCTGAGGCATTTTATAAACAGTAAATAATAAATTACTCTCTGCCCAGGACCCTGACAATAAGAAGGAGGCACAACATTTGGAGGGGCTATTTGGTAAGCTATGAAAAATATTTAATGGGCAGTAGCCACGCATGCTACTCAGATCCTAGGATCCAACATATTCACACAGGATTTTAGAAGTTCCCAACACTAGTGCACAATAGATGCAAATTAGCAGCTTTGGCTGAAATAGAATACCGCCACCCTCTGGTAACCACTGGAATTTTGGAATTTGAAAAGTTCCTGATGATGGGGCCAGAGAGTAATAGGATTGCCAGCATATTAGCAGTGCAATGGCTCACGCCTGTAATTCAATTCTTTGGGAGGCCAAAGATTGCCTGAGTCAAGAAGTTTGAGACCAGTTTGAGAAATATAGCAAGACACACCTCTACAAAAAAAAAAAAAAAGAAATCAAAAGGTTAGCCTAGTGTGGTGGCATGTGCCTGTAGTCCCAGCTACTCAGGAAGCTGAGGTCAAGGCTGAGATGAGCCGTGATTGTGCCACTGCACTCCAGCCTGGGCAACAGAGTGAGACCCTGACTCAAAAAATTAAGTTAAATTAAATTTAAAAAGATCAGCACTACCTATTGTATCACAGGTGGTATCAGACAACATAATTCTCAAATAAAAGAATTTAT